TACGCCTGAGGCAGCGCTGGATCCTGCAACGCTCCATTATGAAGAACCACTCCTTTCAGAGTACTACATCATTGTTGAAGGTTAATAGTATTTCGTAGCTTCATCTATAAGCTTCTGTGTTCAGCGTTTTTATGTAAAAACCTTATTTTCCCAGCTGCTACGGCAACACAAAATACTTCTGGGGGCAATTTGGGAAATGGGCTTAATGGGCTTAACTATTTAATGTATGAAATACTTTAAGTACTGTACTCAACTACAGTATTACTGCTGTCCACCATTTAAGACAGGGAGGCAGACGGAGAAAGAGAAAAACACGGTGGATGTCTGCTGTTCACTTTTTGTTGTCATCATAAAATCTGCCTCAGCCACACACACACACCATTTGCTCGTTCACGTGACAGATACGACTAGAAAGAGAGGTAACTGAAATCAAAACAGACCTAAATCTGCCTGCCCTGATGGCTTATTTCCCCTATAAATCACTTCTTGCTAATGATGGTCCCAGGTGCTGTCTTCTGTCATTTTATGAGAGCATTTAAGCGAAGTCTGCACAAACAACTGAACGTTATTTATCCAGAACGGAGTGATGGCTGCAGCCTGTGCAATTCGTGGAAACATTATCAAAATATAAACAACATTTTTATTCCAAACTCCAACAAATGTAATCTTTTGTGTTAGGGTAAGATTGATTTTCCATGAATTTAACAGATTGCTTTCATTAAGTGTGTGGGTATTAATGCTGCTTGCAACACAGTCTGGTCCGCACTATTTAATCTGTGACTTTCTCTGTAATAATGTCACATCAGACACAAATATGGGGAGGTGATGGCCACCAATGTGTCCCTGAGCAAGACACTGAACCCCTAGTTGCTCCAGAGGCGTGCGACCTCTGACATATACAGCAATTGGAAGTTGCTTTGGATAAAAGCGTCAGCTAAATGAGATGTAATATGCTTCTGCAAAATACTCTGTAGCACACTGAGCATGTGAAGCAAAGACGCCGCTGTCACGATTTAATAGCGTACACATCCGACTGTACAACAACAACAACAACAACAACAACAACAACATCTGGACTCGCCAGTTAGATCACAGAGTGAAATGCAGGTGGTGAACTGAAAACTAAGCTTTTCTTCTAGGTAAGGTCTCGGAAGATAAGTAACAGCACAATCAAGATTGTGGCATGAGGCCTGCAGGATACACCTGGGAGGAGAAATGAAAGAGCAACATTTTCCTCTCCCTCATTACCATCTCTAAAGTGGCCCTGAGCAAGGCCCATAAACCCCAACTGCTCGGATCAGTGGCCGCCACACCAGACTGAGGCCCCATCTGCACTACTCCGTTTTTGTTTAAAGAGGTTCTGCTTTTTGGATTTTTCCCTCTCCTTTATTGAGTTATATACCTTTTTTTTGTGCATGTAACAGGTTTGCAAAGTGAAAAAGCCCAAAGTCCAGCCCAAAGGGAGTTCCCATCTCCCACAGAAGCCGCTTCCTTTTTTTCTCACACATCACATCGAAATGCACGTCATAACGCTCGCCAAGCGGCTAGTCGCCCTCGGTGGAAAAACAGTGAGCTGCAGCACACAGCTCTCCTCTCCCTTCCAAACACTAGCTACCCTCCAGGCAGTCAGTGGACATAAAGTTGTTCCTGTGATGTAGAGACAGAGCTCAGTTAAAACTTTATGGATACAGATTAATAACTCACCGCTCTGAAACTCTCGCTCCAGTCCACGTTGCCAAGCTGGTCGGCAACACGTACAGCTGAACCCGAGCTGTTTACTGGCTTCTCGCTGACTCGTCCTACTCTGCTTCTGATTGGCTAGTAGTCCTTAACTAGAAACTGAGCATGTGCAACTCCCAACAAGCAGATGGTCTGTTCCGTAGTTGCAGAAGATTTGGCCAAAGAATAAAAAAAATACAGCCAAAGAACCGCACCAGATTTTGTTTTGCATGAACCAATAACGAGCTGGGACTGTTACTGAATGAATGGAGTTAAAAGCGGGCTGTGGTGGCGGAAATCAGACGGGGAGTCGTCGCAAAGCAAATACGGCAACATGCACAGCCACTTTCCTAGCTTGAGCGCGTGCCTGCACAAAATACAGCACAAGAACAAAATGTCATTCTGTCGAACCACCTTTGGGGTCCAGAAAGATACCGCTGTGCAGAAGGCTCTTGTTTTTCTAAGCTGTGCCCTTCAAACGTCTACCCATCCTGTGTCAGGTTTGGGAAGCTGCGAGCAGAATATTCCCGTCATGGTGTGCCAAACCAAACATCCAGCCATTTCCGCATGGTTTCATTTGACTTATCTGTCTGAAAACAGACATTTCCACTGCAACACGGTGTGGCGAGCAGACCGGGGTCATATACTCTTCAATTTAGTTTGAGCCCAAATGGAACACCACATGGAAAAAATTTACTGCATGTTCTGAAAATGGTGACCACATTTAAGTCTGTTATTGAATCGTTTGAAATTACTTTCCTGCAATTGTTTGTTGTTTCACATTATACAATCTCACCAAACCTGCACCTGCATAGACTAAAGAAAAAAACAATACAAGCACAAAAAAACTGCTTGATAATGGAGCCTTACTGAAGTTACACTAGCTTAAAAAACAACAGAAAGTGCCCCGAGACTCTTTTAAGTGAAGGGGCCAGAGCGCTTGCAGTCGGGGCCCCGAGACTCTTTTAAGTCCCTTCTTTTAGAAAGTGCTTGGTCAGGAAGCCATGACATCTTCGTACAGTATCACTAACTAAAGCAACACAGACTCTAAAATGTACATTTTTCAAATAGAAAAACATGAACTACTCTCTTGTACTGAAGACGATTGCATAAATCAAGCAATGCAAGTCACTTATCGTCATCTGTCAACCACATTGCCTCTTCAGTAAACACCATTAAGGAAATAGAGAAGCTGTTAACCCTTAGCCTTTCTGAGGCTTCCTTTGCCCTGCTCTGACACTTGACTTAACCTCAGACGACCCCCTTGTTTAGACCACTGATGGATGTTGTAACAGATATTGCCATCATTGTCCCAGCAGGTTAGAGCAGTTATTGCAGATTCCCTCAGCGGGTCTTAGCTCTAGGTTGTGGAAAGTTAAGTAATCAAATACATAGCTGCGTTTAGACTATGAGTCTGCTGAATGCAAATTACGTTGCTTGTTTTCATTTCAAGCAATGATCCATAACAGGTTTCATTTTGAAAGCCAACCCAAGCGACTAGGGAACGGAGTAAACTTCCCCAGCGATTGAAGTTGCAACCTTATATGAACATCAGGCCCTGAAAATAGTCGCCAAACAAAATAGGAGGGATGTGATAAGATCTTACATCTAGCAGGCTTTTAACTACAAAACAATGGCGAACTGCTTGTTGTTCGGCTAAAAAGGTTACTGTCAAAGTGTTCCAGCCTCCCTACAGTCACATTTTACTTACCAGCTCACAGAGGCTCAGAACTCGAGAATCACACTGTGCAATATGGGCTTCATTAGAGTAAACAACGTGACTTAGACTTGAGTCTGACGGTGGGGATGTTTTAGGACTGACCTGGGTTGATTCTGCATCTGACGGCATGTGCACTCATTTTCATTATGCTACAAAGATTGGCAACTTTTGGTTACATGATCATCAAAACACATGCAATAGATAGCCTTTTCAAACTGCCTACTAGTAATGTATCAAAAATACAATCGATGTTAACTTTTAACCATTTTATACGCCTTCATCTCATCACGCTCTTTTAAGTCCCTTCTTTTAAAGGACAGCCTTTCCTGATTTTATTTGATATGATTTTATTCTATTTTATATACATTTTATTTTTACTTTTAACGTGTATTTTAATCTCTTAAGTGTTTTATTGTTTTTACAATGTATTTGTTTTATGAGTTTTATTGCCTTTGCACATGTTAATTGTTGTTCATTGTTTTCCCAGCCATCACGTGGCGGGCCAGAACATTATTTCAGTTAAATTATTTCATATCCTTGGATACTCATGTGCACGTTTAGCTCAGTCGGTGGGGTGCGGGACTCCCGTTGAAGGAGTTGTATGATCACTCCCAAAATCCAAATCCCTTGTTAAACAAATTGATTAGCCTATAAAGACACTTTTACACATGCTTGCAATGAAGGATGTGCTGCAGTGTGTGCGCGTCCCGGCGTTTGATCCGCATTCATAAACCTATGGATCTAATTTTCATTTCCCTGAGGAAATTCAAGGGAATCCAATCACACGTTTACTGACGGCCTTTTCAGAGGTGTGTCAAATAGGCCAGAGACTCTTTCGAATGTCGTTCAGAACTTTTCAAAGTAAAAGCTCTTAATAAACTCAACATGAAGCATTGCTGCAAAAAAAAATGTCATGACCGAGATCTATTTCAGCAACAGCCGTTATCAATCTATTTTTCTGCTATCAAAGCAATCTGGCCCTCTGACACAGGTGTGTTTGCGGTCCCTTCAACAGAGTGTGAGGCTTCCTCGTGTGAGTATATCGTTTTCACAGTGTACTGTTTAGTAAAAACTTTTGGGTAAAAATCAACATGAATGGTTCAGAATATAACTAAAACACCTGTAACATCAGTGAGTGGCTGGCATTAAAAGTGCCACTGCATGTGGAGTGCAGGAGAATGACCTACATGGTGAAGACGTTAAGAATTAACAGAATTAATCACAAAATCAATGCATTCTAATAGCTGCTTCCTTTTCCCATTGGCGGTTTTAGGTATACAGTTAATAAGATTTTTTGGCATGCAAGAATTTCAAAATACTAAACGCCTCTGTTAGCACATCCGTAATGAAATTCTTTTAGGCTGACCGGCTGTGTACAACCACACCACTAAGTGGCAGGGAGATGTGGGATGTCACTGCGTCCTGGAGGACACCTGTACATCAGTGCATCAAGGCAAGACGTTAAACTAGAGGTCAGCAAAAAAAGATTTCCAAGTGGTGTCTACAAAAACAGCTGCTACATTAAGACCAAGAAATCAGAGTTTCAGGACAGGTGACTGACCTCGGCAGATGAGTCCGTCCTGGAGGATGGTCTGTTTACAGACGCCGCAGTGCTTGGCCTTCTTGAAAGTCTTCACCCGGAACGTATGGGAGTGAAGAGCCTCCAACTCCTCTGGCTACAGTTAAGAAAACAACAACAGAAGACAAAAGAGGTGGAATGTTAGTGTTAAAATGTCGTGACCTGGTGAGTCATTTGGACCCCTCCTCCCTCCCCTCCCAACATTTGTCCTGTCATCTAACTTCCCTCCTTGCAGGTGTGTTATGCAACTCTTTGGAGAAACTATCTGGCATTGCTCCCCACCCCAGCTCAACACCCCTCTGTGTCTGTCTGCAGCCTGTTGTTTTCCCTCCAGTGTAAACCAGCTTACCTCCCCGGTCCTTTTCCTGTCTGCTTTGTAAACTTGGCATTCAGCAATGCTGGAGGGCAAACAGAAAAGCCAAGCTTTGGAGGTTTGACTGTTTCCTGCAGTGTCTTTACGAGAAACCTGCATCATGTTTCCATTTCCCTACTGACGACCAACCATGACATCATTTCTGAGGTGTATTTGCTCAGCTGGTCCCCATTTTTCCTTTGAGGTTTGGATTTTTGGGAATAGTGGTCCAATGAATCCCTCTGTAAGCAAGACAACCTTACCAAATATTATAGTTATTATGTTGTATGAGTACTTAGCCACAACTGTTTTATATTAGGGATGCACCGAAAATACATTTTTTGTCAGAAACATAATGAAAAACTTTCTCGAATACCGAACAAGGTGTTTAATATTTTTTTCCATTTATTTTGCCTTTTTTCCCCCCACTGCTAAATTAAATTAAAATCAAAATCAAAATGTGCTTTTTCCTCAGTGTTTCCCACAAGATGTGGAGAGACTATGGTGGGGGGCCCGGGGCCCGAGAAGGTCCTGTAAAGTAAATTACATGAGTCCACTTACTTCTAATGGACACATGTAATATGTTTTATACTTCCTGTGAATATTATTCAATTAATCTTATTTCCATCCTGTACAGACGCCTTATTTCGAAAACAGGACGTTGTCACATGTGTTTCCTCCTCGCACTAAATTCATCCAGTCCGACCCGGTTTGATAAATAATGTTTGTGGTTCTGGTCTTCACAGCCTCTTCAGGCAGGACTCTCATCCTGCAGCACTCGTCTTTGTACAAACTGACAGGATAAAGTCTCTAACCTGCCTGTCAGCTCGCTCTGGGCCGCACAGAAACACTCAAAGCGGTTCTTTTTTAAGAAGTTAGCCACAGATGGAGCGGATGTGCTAGGAGACAATTCAGCAGAACAGCGTCTGCAAACGGCCAGTTTTGTTTCCACAGGCTGGTCAGTGCCTACTATGACCAGTAAACTGATCTTAATGTGTCTGCAAACGGCCATTTTTGCGTCTGTGCCAGACACTGTTAAATAGAACTGTGCAGTAAAAAAATAATGATAATTATTGCAATATAATTTTCCTCAATAACAATATAACAAACGTTCAATATATCGTCAATAAATGTTTGATTTAATTCATTTGAATCACAAACTAATTAGCATCTAATTTTTCCATCAAGGAAAAAGGGACTGAAGAAGATTTTATCATAATAGTTTTGAATGATCTACCTCATATTTGTGAGCTGTGTTTGTCACGTTCTGACAATGAAGACAAGTTTAAGCACACAATTAACCATCTGGTTTCTTCAGCTTTCACTCAGGAGCAAAAATCTGCCTTTAAACTTGAAAGAAATAATGATTTGACATTTATCGTGATAATTATCGATATCGAATAATATGAAATATTTTTATTGTGATAACATCTTTAGCCGTTTCACCCAGCCCTACTTTTAAATGCTTCCACACTGCCGACAAAGTGCTCTTTTTGCTATTTTCAGCCGATTAATTTCAGTTGCCGGACATTCGGTGCATCCCTATATTACATCAGATATAGCAGAATTTAATCCAGCCTGCAATCATATAACAGAAACAGTGTTGGTGAGACAACAAACTGAACAGAAATTTTACTGTTCATCTGAAAATATTTGCCTTTTGTTTGGCTGTGAAAGTTTTAGACTATCCAGTACAATCACTAGATAATCAAACACCAGAAGAGACTAGGGCAACATTACGGAGCCTACCATAGATAAATATTTCTTGAATGTCTGTCTTTAATGTGCCCAACAGTACATATGTTCTATACAGGGATGTAGAGTAAAAGGTGCATGCGTTTCCAAGGCAGGAAGTGCCAGTTTAGCGTCCAGACATGAGGCTTCTATTAAATGTGTGTGCATGCTGGACAGGGCCAAACGTGGCCATGTGGTTGGCATATTGGGGGCCTTCTCACAGGAATTTTCATATGAGGAGACCGTAGAATCTCAAAGCATGGCAAGGAAAATATAGCAGCTCCCTTTCTAAAGAATCCCCCGACTACCAACCACAGTAACCTTAGAACCACTAATGACCCCCTTTTTTCTTCTCATCAATCCTAAAAGGCGACGTGTTGGAAAAGCGGCTTAGGGTGTGCAATCACAGCACAGAGCCTGACACTTGAATGATAAACCAGACAGAGAATCACTCCTCAATTCACGGACTGTCCTCCCTCTTGCTATTAGGAGAAGGAACTGACTTAGCAGGAGAAAAGGAAAGCCCCTTGTCTGTTTCCCATGATGTCTCTTTTCTAGTTAATACATAACCGTCATATGGATCCAGACGTGGAAGAAGTCTCATTACACATATCACTTTTTTGTTATATTCTACACTTCATTTCACATTTAGATCTTTAACAATAATGTTTACTGGTCATGGGGATTACTACTTAGTGAAGCCCGATGCGGATTTTGATATTTGAGGATTTTAAAATCCGACGTGCCGATATATCGTCCGATATTCTTTTCCCCCCTTATTTTAAGAAATGCATAACAACATAAACAAAGATTATCCCTAATATTTGTTATGTTGCGACCGACCTCACCAAGATACCCCGACATAATGCAGTATAAAAAGAAACTTTTTTTTACTGTTCTAAATAGTACTTTGAGCAAAAGTACAACAAAATATGTGATAAATAAGAGTCAAATGTAGAAAACTACAGAAAACATTTTATAAATATCTGATCTGTTATAAATTATGGAGTACTATTACTAATGAACATTAAATTAAATAGTGTATGTATTGTGGGGTCCAGCGAATATACTACTACTGATAAACATGGCATTAGTCAGCTTTGTGGCTAATTTATCAACGGGCAGCATCAACTCCTGTAAGTGATGTGATGTTTAAGAAATGTTTAACAGTAATTAATTAGAGAGGAATGAGAGGACCATTTGCTAGAACTGTTTCAGAAATAAATCTACAATCACGTTTGCCAGCAGCGTAACCACCACACACCTACCGTAACATTAAACACACTGCTGTGAGCCTGGAGAGGGAAGTGAAAAACGGGAGGGTTAGGAGGTCTGGTATGGTAAGAGAAGTGATGAGGGCTTGACAAACGACTAAATCACCGGGAACATTGACTGTGAGCACTACCAGGAGCTATTCTCCGTGTCTCCAGTAGACTGCGGTCAGCTGATGTTTTGTTCTGTGGTGCAGCAGTGTTGTTAACAGAGGAGCTGCAGCTCGCCCTGTGGTGGGCAAACTAGGTAACACACAGCCTGAGGGAAGGATCCGACTCTCTGTTTCTTTTTTAATAATATCGGCTGTTATAAACGCAGATATATCTGCAAGAAGCTTATATCGACCGCTAATATCTGCAAAACGGTAAATCGGTCAGGCTCTACGACTTAGCCTGTGCAAATTGTTGAATATCTTCTCTAGGGTAACTTCAGCAAATCTAAGCACACTGCATTGTTAGCTCGGGTTTGGAAATGACACATTTTCAACAGAATGCCTGCATTACTGCTGTTTACCAGGCACATAGAGATGCATGATGAGAAGTGAAGGACTGAGCTTATTTAGAGCTTAATCCATATTAGCAACTACAGTCATGTTTATACAAACATTAGCACTGCATGAAAAATGGGGATGCCAACCAGTAGGGCTTGGGTTTGTTTATTTGTTTGCAGAAAACCTTTATCTTAACTTATCTATGTTATAACACTGTTTAGACCATGTTTTAAGAAGTTCCAGGCCAACTGTAAAGGACTTCAGACACAATGAGGGTGCTAGAAAACAAGATTAAGAGTTCACAGTCGTTCTAGCAATGATGGCACTAGTTAAATGATCTCCAAACTTATTCAGATTCACCAGCTGGGGACAACTGATACTAGATGCACCAGAATAAAAGTAAGCAAAGCAAGAACAAGGTATAACAACAAAAGCTCACTATATTTTAGCTTAAAGAAACCTTTCCTGCACTTGGATGGTGCAGAATTATACATTTGATACTCAGAATTGGTGGTTTGCTACAATTCTTGAGCTCTAGAAACTCAGACAGTCTGACATTACCTCTGGTGTTTATCAAGCTCTACGTGACAGTTCAGTGTTTGTATTTCAGAGCCACATGGCAACAGCAGGACAGCCGAGCCTTCATTCCATCTCCCGGCTACGCCTTACCACTACATAACACGATTAGCTTAATCTAGTTAGGCTGAAATAGTGACCATGGCTGTGCAGGACGCACCATGTTGGCAAGGGGGCTTTTCGAGGGGAGGGCTGGAGGTCTCTGCCTGGCATCCAAGGCGCCACCATGCCAAAGTTCCAGCTGGCACCTGCTGGGTTGGGATTCTTAATATGGATTCCAGGGGATTGGAAATGGGCGATAAGTGGGTTTAATGGTACTCTGAGTGCGTATAGTAAGTGTGGATATCTGTCTGCATGTCTGTGTTTGAAGGGGGGCTTCAAATATTTCTCCATTCTGTCAAAATGACAGCAGGCTTTGTGGGAATTGATACCTCTGGAAAGAGGCAGTGCACAAGCTGTGTTTTGAACAAAAAACCAATCTTTTGGTTTCACTCCCAGCCCATTTAGGAATCAACTGTCAACATGAAAGGAGTCAACAGTGTCAGCAGAATGAATAAAACGACCCAGCCGCAGGCAGGTGTTAGAGGAACACCCTGTTTAATCGCTTCTGTCAAAGTGTCTACTCTCTAACCACATCATCCAAAACATACAGTAAGTTTTGGTCTGCAATGAA